TCCCCCCCAGGGCATGGCATCCACGGGCCTGTCCACCCCCGGGCCTGTCCACCCCCAGGGCCTGTCCACCCCTTGGCCTGTCCACCCCTGGGCCTGTGCATCCCTGGGCCTGTCCACCCCCGGGCCTGTCCACCTAGGCCTGTGCATCCCCGGGCCTGTCCACCCAGGGCCTGTCCACCCCCGGGCCTGTCCACCCTGGGTCTGTCCGCCCGGGCCTGTCTGGCCTCCCTAATGAGAGCGGCGTCCTGTGCACGCCCGCAGGTGGCTGAGAAGGTGAAGCGGTTTTTCTCCAAGTACTCCGCGAACAGGCACAAGATGACCACGCTGACGCCCGCCTACCACGCTGAGAGCTACAGCCCGGACGACAACAGGTTCGACCTGCGGCCGTTCCTGTACAACACCCGCTGGCCCTGGCAGTTCCGGTGCATAGACCGCCAGGTGCGTCCCGCCCGGGGCCTCGCCCGGCCTCCGGTGCCTCGGGGTGCTGGTGGTGGTGCCGGGTCCTCGGCAGGTTCCCACGGGTGCCGCGGTGAGCTCTGCCGTGGCTCCGGCAGGCGGGTCCACGTGTCCGTCACCTTTAAGTCCCACGCTCCCTGCGATCTTCCGCCTCCTGGAGGCGCAGCCCCCGCCCCAGCCTGGGGGCCGCGGCTGCTCTCGCCCCGTGGTCCCCGTGTTCCGCGTGGGCCGGTCCTGCGGGGTTTCCTCCTCCGTCCTTTGCCGCGTGACCTGGGGTCTTTGCTTGGGGTATAAGCCCTGCGTTGGGATCGCCGCCGTGCTGGCGGGAGCTGAGGAACCACGCTCTGTGGGCACAGGTGTCCTGCCTAGGGCCTTGCATGGACGGCTGCGATGGCCGCACGCTGTGGCCCCGGCATCACTCGGTCTCCCCCCCACCACCCATGGGGGACGGAACCACTCGGTCTCCCCTCCCCACCCGTGGGGGACGGAAGACATGGGGCTCACCAGGCCGGCCCACGGCCACCCGCGTTCCCGCAGCGAGACCAGCACGGGAAAGGCGACAGAGGCCAAGCTGGAGGTGACCATGTGGGGGCGCAGGTGCACACGGGGGAGCTGGCAGGGTCTCCCTGGGGAGAGATCAGCCACCTGGAGGTGCCTTTGGGAGTCACAGCTGGACGGGGTGCAGCTGTGTCCAGGGGCTGGTGTCGCTGGAGTCCCCCCAGGCAGAAGCCACGAGTGCGCAGTGACCCCAGGCAGGGCCGTGCCATCCCCTGCCCACGCTGTGTCCCGCCCCGATCAGAGCCGTGGCTGGCGTGTGTCCTCTCTGGGCCCTGGACGGCTCCTCACCGCTTCTCTCTGCAGGTCCTGCGGCTGGAGGGCGCACCGCAGCCGGCCCTGGACGCTCCCGACTGACGGTGTGGGATCCCGCCAGCTCTGCTGCACCGTCCACGCCTCCAGCCGCTTCAACGTGCAGGGCGAGGGCAGGGCTGGGGTCTGTTCACGCCAGGGCCTGGCTCAGGCATCAATAAAGCCATCGCTCCTGAGCCCTGCCCGGCTCCCGCTCTGCTCTGATGGGCACCTGATGGGCGCAGGCGCGGTCGCCGCAGAACCTGGGGCAGCCGCCTTCCCCTGGGCGGGGCCTCGGAGCCCCGCCTCCCACCCTCTCCAGGCTCCCCTTAGTTCCAGGGCCGCTCTCGTGGGCCGAGCCCCCCGGGGTCTCAGCCTCCCACCTCTGGCTCGGTGAGTGACCTCCCCGGCCTGCTGGGCGCATGGTGGCTCACATGGAAGTCACTGAGCCCCAGCGCCGGGGACAGCAGATGAAGAACGTCCATGGCCTCCCCAACCCTAGGCCCTCCGAGCCCGCCCCCGCCCGCTCCCCTGACCCCGGGCCCTCCGAGCCCGCCTTGGCCTGCTCCCCTGACCCCCTGACCCCGGGCCCTCCAAGCCCACCCCCGCCCGCTCCCCTGACCCCGGGCCCTCCGAGCCCACCCCCGCCCGCTCCCCTGACCCCGGGCCCTCCGAGCCCACCCCCCGCCCGCTCCCTGACCCCAGGCCCTCCGAGCCCACCCCTGCCTGCTCCCCTGACCCCGGGCCCTCCGAGCCCACCCCCGCCCGCTCCCCTGACCCCGGGCCCTCCGAGCCCACCCCCGCCCGCTCCCCGACCCCAGGCCCTCCGAGGCCACCCCTGCCCGCTCCCTGACCTCTGCTGCCCCACCCTTGGCCCACGGGCTGCTGGGACCATGCAGTAGGGTGGGCATTTTTTGTTTGTTTTAAATTATTTATTTGAAAGAGCTACAGAGAGTGATAGTGAGAGCCAGTGCTTTCTGCTGGTCCACTCCCCAGATGGCCGCAACGGCTGGGGCTGGGCCAGGCCGGAGCCAGGGGCCTCTTCCGGGTCTCCCCCGGGGCTGCAGGGGCCCAGGCACCTGGGCCATCTCTGCTTCCCCAGGTGCGTGAGCAGGGAGCTGGAAGGGACGTGGAGCAGCCGGGACAGGAACGGGCGCCCATGTGGGACGCCGGCGCCGCAGCCGGAGCTCTGCCCGCTGCCCCGCAGCGCCAGCCCCACAGCCGCAGGCCGCAGCACCGTGGGTTCTGGGGGAATCGGGCTCTGAGAGGGAGGGGGCCGTACTTGCTGGACGATCCCGGGTTGTGGTTTATGGGTTAGAAGGAAAACCACCCACAGCCTCGGCGGGAGACACAGAGGGGGCGTTGGGGGCCGGCAGGTTAAGCCACCACTGCGACACGTGTGTCCTGTAGCAGAGCGCCATCTGACGGACGTGGGGACCCCCGTCTGGCCGCGAAAACCCGACCCTGGGGCTGACGCTGGGGGAGGCACGAACACGCCCATCCCACGCCATCCGCGTGCTGCAAGACCGTCCTGTGCCCGGAGCACGGAGGGCCAGGCGGCTGAGACAGCTCCTTCCACAGCCAGTGCGGACCTCCCCCAGGAGCCAGGGCCCCCGCAGGGCACTCAGGATCCCAGGGCCCCCGCAGGGCACTCACAGGATCCCAGGGCCCCCGCAGGGCACTCACAGGATCCCAGGCCCCCGCAGGGCACTCACAGGATCCCAGGGCCCCCGCAGGGCACTCACAGGATCCCAGGGCCCCCGCAGGGCACTCACAGGATCCCAGGGCCCCCGCAGGGCACTCACAGGATCCCGGGCCCGAGGGCACCACAGGATCCCAGGGCCCCCGCAGGGCACTCGGCAGATCCCAAGACCCCCACGGGGCGCTCGGCGGCTCCCAGGGCTTGCGATGAGCGTCTCCGTCCCCACATTCACCCAGCGCAGCTGTGGCAGGAGGGCCGCGGGCAGGTGGCCCAGGAAGAGCCGCCGGCACGGAGGAAGCCACCGCGGCGTGAGGACCTCAGAGGACGCTCTGGGCTGCCGGCCGCGGGGCTGCACCGTAGGTGAGGGGCTGCTCTCCAGGGGGTCAGCCTCCTCCTGCCCACGGCAGGTCCCGGGCGCGGGAGGCAGGCGGGCAGGGGCCCAGGGCAGCCGTGCCGCTCCCCTGTGCTCCGTGGCCTGCTGCCTGCTGGCGCTGGGCCCTCCGGCTCCGCTCACGCCTCTGCTGTGTCAGGCGCCGCCCTCGCCCCTCCGAGCAGGAAACCCCCCCCCCCCTGGACAGCGCAGCCCGGGCCCAGGCGCAGTGTGGCTGTCACTCTGGTCACAGCACTGCGGCCGCTGCTGCCGTGGGCGCAGCAGGACACGGGCGGTGAATCCGTCTGCCATCGGCGTGGGGCCGGCGGGCGGTGCTCCCGCGGCTCTGCTCTCCGCTGGGAAAGACCTCCCCCTCCCGGCCGCCCCTCGCCCAGTCCCGGCCCCTCCCGGCCGCCCCTCGCCCGGTCCCGGCCCCTCCCGGCCGCCCCTCGCCCGGTCCCGGCCCCTCCCGGCCGCCCCTCGCCCGGTCCCGGCCCCTCCCGGCCGCCCCTCGCCCGGTCCCGGCCCCTCCCGGCCGCCCCTCGCCCGGTCCCGGCCCCTCCCGGCCGCCCCTCGCCCCGGTCCCGGCCCCTCCCGGCCGCCCCTCGCCCCGTCCCGGCCCCTCCTGGGCCATGGGGATGCTCTCCACGCCGGCCCCTGCAGCTACCCGGCAGCCAGCGGCTCCCGTGGGCTGGTCCGTTCTCCAGGTGCTTGGCCCCCTGCTGGGGGGCGGGCTGACCGCTGTTGCTCCCTGACCCCTGACCCCTGACCTCCAGGAGCCTGGGCCACGGGTGCTGCTGCTGGAGGCCGAGAGGGGGAGCAAGGAGCAGACACTGAAAGATGACATCCGGGGCCTGCGGGCAAAGCTGACCCGCTGGGGAGGGGGAGGGGCAGGGAGGCCACCCAGACCAGGGAGGGGCTCCCGGAGTCACCCCAGGAACCGCCAAGTCACCGTGCAAGCTGATTCCCAAGGACACCGGGGGGGGGGTGTGTGTGTGGCAGGTGCGGCGTTAGCGGTGGTCTGGACTGGTTCGGATTGGTCTGAACTGGTCTGGACTGGTCTGGATGGGTCAGCCTCCCCTCACTGTAAGGAAGGGCCTGAGGCCCTGGGGCTGGGCGCCGGCTCTGGCAGAGGTGGCCGGAGCTCGTGCAGGGAGCAGAGAGGGGGGCCGTGGAACAGCCTCTGCCGAGGGGCACCCACGGGGTCACACAGGGACCTCCTCCCGCAGGCGGCACCCCCAGGGCCCCCACACTGGGCCCTGCCTCCCCGCCGGCCACCCTGGGGACCACGCGTGCAGCCCACGGACCCCTGGGGGACCCAGGAACCATTTGCAAGGCACAGCCCCGTGTGCCCCGGCCGGAGCTGGGGGAGTCAGGGCAGGCAGTGAGCTCGCGGTGCCAGACTCAAGGGAGCTCGGCCAGGAGGCAGGGCCCACGGCCCGGCTCCCGCAGTGGGCGCTCCCACGCCGGCCCCAGCAGCAGACAGGCCCGCGGCCGGCCGTCTCCCCCGGCCTGGGGTCCGTCCCGGTGTGAGCAGGATCCTGGCTCTGAGCCGAGTCCCAGAGGCAGGGGTTGGGGCAGGCGGGGGACAGCAGTCTCACAGGGCAGACCCCTCCCCACCCCGTCGCCATCTAGTGGGCGAGCTGGGAACTGGCCCGGCCCAGGGCACCCACGGCAGGACGAGGCCCACTGCAGGTTAGGGCGCCCTGGGCCGGGTGGGGGGTCTCCCCTCCCGTGGGCCGGACCTGGGGGGTCGCAGAGCAGGAGGCATTGTGGGAGCCGCGAGGCTGCAGCGCCAGGCCCTGGGGGCCTCCTGCCCTGGGACCCGCGCTGCCCTCCCCTGGAGAGAGCCTTGTGACAAACGCGTGTCTCCGGGGGTCCAGAGAAATCCAGACCTCAGAAAGCAGCGGCGGCCCTGTGGCAGCGAGGACCGAGAGGGAGCCCTTATCCTTCCAGAACTTTCCTGAGCGTGTATGCATGTGTCCGTGCGTGGAGGCGCGCGCACGCGGGCCCCTGGCCGAGTTGTGGGCACAGTGGAGTGAAAGAGTGAGTTGAAGGGCTGGCGTGGGGGCGGGGGCCAGGGCCGGTTCCACTCCCGGCTCCGGCTGCGGCTCCCCAGCGCAGGCCCGGGCAGCAGCGGTGGCGGCTCAGGTAGTTGCGTCCCTCCCCGCTGTGTGGGAGAGCAGAGTCCAGCTGCCTGCCCGTGTTCCTCGCAGGCATTGCCGCCCCCCAGCTCCGGGGATCCAGGGACCCCTGCCAGCAGAGCCCGGGTCGCCTGCGAGACCGCCGGCTGCCGGCAGGTGGCGCTCACGTTCTTGCCCTGGCTGCAGCCCAGGCTCACGGGCCGGGGGTCCAGCCCGCGCGCCCCCTTGCTCTCGCCGTGGCTTTCCACGGCTTTCGCTCGCAGCTTTTATGGGCGGCGGCCTCCCCCAGCCAAACAATGCGGCTCCTTCCGGGGAAACCGGGCGGCTCCGGGGGCGTCAGAGGGCGCCTGCCTACAGCCAGAGCCCCAGGCCCTCGTGCGTGCAGGCGGCAGGTGTCCCGGGAGCCTGTCCCGGGAGCGTGTCCCAGGAGCGAGTTCCGGGTACGCATCCGCCTGCGCTGCAGCTCAGCCACGCCCCCTGCCCCCCGGGGAGCTGCGAGTGTGGTTGGCCCTGCTGGGGACGGTCTGGCTCGTGACTTTCCCCGCTGCCTTGGGCTCCCCCAAGGGGGTTCGTTGCCAGCTCAGGGCCGCTCCCTACTTCCTCCTCGGGCGTGAGCTGCTGGGGTTGAAGCGCTGGGCCCGGGGAGGAGAGGCAGGTCCGCGGGACCAGGATCAGGGGCGGGCGATGGCGGAGACACCTGGGCCTGCATTTGAAACTTTAGGACACTTTCGGCTGGAGTCTGGGGGCCCTGGAGGGGGCAGTGGCCGGCCCAGGCAGGAGTGAGGGTAGCGAGGGCTGGGTGGGCTGGGGAGGGGGCTGTGGGGGCGGCGAGGTGGCGGGCTGAACCCCCTCCGGCCCACCTCCTGCCGCCCCGCACATGCACCTGTCTGTGCATCAGGTGGTTCTCGCCTGAGACCATGGCTCAGCCGTGGGGGCCGTGGAGAAGCTGCCCGGGTCCTGCGGGGCTCCCGCCGGGCCCCCTCTGGGAATGCAGTTTTCAGACACAAAAGGCCGAGGCCCGGGAGCTGAGCCCCAGGGACTGCCCAGGACACGGGAGGGCGCAGGGGGACCCGGTCTGCGTCCTGGGACAGATCCAGGCTGGACTCGGCACCCGCTCCCCGGCCGCTGCCACGCGGGGTGTCCGTGGCCCCTGCCTGGCCCAGCGGTGCAGCGTTCCCGGGGCTTCTGCACACAGACCCCCGCCCTCTGTCTCTGCTGCATTCGGCCCCTGGCGCTGGCTTAGCCCAGTGCCCCGGCCGACACGGCCCTGGCACAGGGTGCTGGGGACACTGAGCCGCCCACTCACACGTGCCCACAGGGCCAGAGCCGCCCCGGCCGGCCGTCCCCTCACCCTCGTGTGACGGCCATGAAGAGGAGGGTGTGGTGGTGTGGGAGGAAGGCCTGGCGGGGCCGAGGCCTAGGGAAGAGGAAGGGGGGACCGGCTGGAGCGCAGCGCCGGCCGGTGGTTGCCAGGGCAGAGGGCTCGAGACCCGGGCCAGGCGGCGAAGGAGCCAGGGTCTCCTGGACGAGCCCCCCGAGCCTGGGTGCCTGGGAGGCGCAGGGCCGGGCGTGGGGACGGGCAGTGGACGGAGCCCTTCCTTCCAGGCCTCGGGGGCTTCTGGGAGGGGTGTGCCCAGTGGGCGGCCTGGGAGCGGCACTGCCCTGGACTTCGTTGGGGGCCACCCCAGCTCCGTGTCCCGGGGCCCCAGGCTCCTCAGCTGTGAAATGCTGTGAAATGTGCACAAATAAAACCTGCCTCGAGCCCTGGGGGGCCAGCGTGAGGCCCTGGGGAAGCGGGCAGCCTGGAGGCGCCAGCGGGTTCTCCCCCCTGCCCCAGCCCAGTGGGCCCTTGCCCCTTCTGCACGCGGAGCCCGGCCCCTGGCTCGGGGCCCTGGATGGTCAGGTTGGGAGTCAGCACCTCTCAGGGTGCAGGAGGAGCCGGCAGCTCAGGCAGCTCCAGCACGGGGCCTCGGGGAGCCTGTGATGACCCCCAGGGGCACGGGTGGGGCTCAGCGGGGGCTGGGAACTGTCTGGTGTGGACACACGGGGCACCCCCATGTGGTTTTTTTTTCCTTATTTATTTGAGAGGCAGAGACAGCTGTCTGCTGCGTCACCACCATCCCCCGTCCCAGATGCCCCTGGCGGCCCAGGATGGGCCAGGATGGAACTGGGCACTCCATCCGGGTCTCCCAGGTGGGCGGCAGGGACCCAGGTGCCTGAGTCCCCGTCACTGCCCCCAGGGGCTGCGGGAGCCTGAGGGACTCACGCCTGCCCCGACTCCTTTCTAACTTTTTTATTCTGAGCGCTGGCCGCTTTCTGGTGGTGCCCTCTGTGGGCAGTGGCCCCGGGGCCCGCTTCACCCGGCCAGGCGCTGCGGGCTGATGGAGGCGCTGCCCGGTTCTCACTGGGAAATTCCTCGTAATTCATAGGAGCCTCGAGGTGAGACATTGAGATCACTTAGATACATTGTTTCTCTTCATTTCTTTTTTAAGTAGCAGAGTGAGAATGAGAGAGAGAGAGAGGGAGAGAGATCGTCCATCCACTGGGGCCCACAATAGTCAGGGCTGGGCCAGGCTGAAGCCAGGACCCAGCAGCTCCATCCGGGTCTCCCCTGGGGGTGGCAGGGACTCAAGCCCTTGGCCCACCCCTCTGCGGCTTCCCAGGCGCATTAGCAGGGAGCTGGATCCACAGTGCCGCCGGCATCCCGTACGGGCGCTGGTTCGAGTCTCGGCTGCTCCACTTCCGATCCAGCTCTCTGCTATGACCTGGGATAGCAGTGGAAGATGGCCGAAGTGCATTGACCCCTGCACCCATGGAAGAGGCCTGGACGAAGCTCCTGGTTCCTGGCTTCGGCTGGGCTGTTGTGGCCATGTGGGGGACCAGTGCAAAAGGGGGGGGGACGGGGAGGCTGTGAGTGACCTGCAGCTGGCCAATGATGGCCGCTGCTGTGGCCCTGGGGGCGGGGTTTGGATCCGTCTCTTCTTTTGGTCTGAGAAAAAGTAATTAGAGAACGTTCTCCTGATAACTTTCCCCACCGACTTACTAAACCGACCCTAGAGGGGCCGGCCCACCGGGGATGCCGGTGCCGTCGCGGGGTCCCTGGGCTTGCGTCCCCCTCTGCCGATGTGCAGCCTCGCTGGAGCGCTTCTCTCTGCCACCCACCGGGAGCCCTGGGTGGGGTCTGAGGTGTGCCGCGTGGTGTCTTCCCGAGTGTGCCCCAGTGAGGTCGTCACTCAGATGAGCACGGCGGCTGTCCCGAGCCCTGGGGGGCCCCGGCTGCAGCCTGTTCTCGGGTCTGGCGGGAAGCCACTGCCGTCCGTGCCGCGCCGGGCCGGGTCCTGAGCCTCACGGACACGTCTGCAGGCGACGCGGGCCCAGCTTTGCCTCTTGCAGTGTAGGACTGCCAGCCGCCCCGTGGGGCCCTGGGTGGAGTCCCCGGCTTCCGCGTGTGGCCTGGCAGCCCCAGCCGTTGTGGGCGTTTGCGGAGTGAACCAGCGGGCGGAGGGTGTTTTTTTTTTTTTTTTTTTTTTTTTTTTGACAGGCAGAGTGGACAGTGAGAGAGATAGAGAGAGAAAGGTCTTTCTTTGCCGTTGGTTCACCCTCCAATGGCCGCTGCGGCCGGTGCGCCATGCTGATCTGATGGCAGGAGCCAGGTGCTTCTCCTGGTCTCCCATGGGGTGCAGGGCCCAAGCACTTGGGCCATCCTCCACTGCACTCCCGGGCCACAGCAGAGAGCTGGTCTGGAAGAGGGGCAACCGGGACAGAATCCGGCGCCCCGACCGGGACTAGAACCCGGTGTGCCGGCGCCGCTAGGTGGAGGATTAGCCTATTGAGCCGCGGTGCCGGCCGGAAGTTGTTTTTTAAATAAAATGGGGGAAAAAAAGGCAGGGGTTGCCTGGGGTCTCAGTCTTTGTGACAAGATTGACAGCTGTGGCTGACGCCCCTCCCTGTGGCCGGGGCGGGGGTCCTGCGTGCGGACCCTGGTGCTGTCCCTGGGCCCTCCCTGCAGGGCTGAGGGCGTGAGGATGGTGTCCGTGCCCTAGCAGCGCCCGCGGGAGCCAGTGGCCTGTGTGGGGCTGAGGCTGCGTCCCGGAGGCAGGGAGCCCTGCGGGGCTGCGGTGAGGCCGGGCCAGAGCGGCCAGGAGGGCGTCCCCAGCCAGGAAGCGCCGGCTGCTCACGTGTCCGCGTGGCGTGAGGGTCGGCAAGCGGGGTGGTTTCACGTCCCCTCCTGGCCATAGGAAGACACCAGCAGCCCTTGGGGCAAATTTTAGGTCCATGAAATCCTAGTTTGTTAGGGGTCAGGGTTTGGGGGTCCTGGACAAGGCTGCCAGAGAAGGTGTGGGCACAGAGCCCCAGTCCTGACGTGCATGGGGGAACGCTAGCACACGTGTGTGTACACGCATGCACACACAAAGGCAGACACACAAACACGCACACGGGTGCACACCAGCGCGCACACGGCGCCCACACGGCACCTCTGGAACAGTCTGGGTGTCCCTGGGGCCCGTGGGAGCCCAGCGCCGCGTCCTCGGGTTTATCCCCACGAATGCGCCCACAGCCCCCTGCACATTCACTAAGTAAAAAAAACAATGGTTTCCATGAAAGGATTCTGGCAATCGCCTCCTTTTACTACAACGTCTCTGTACAAAACCCCGCTTCAGACTACGTCCTGTACGCGGGAACAGGAGCAGCGACGGCACGGTTTTAGCCTTGGCCGTGGGGCGCAGGGTGGCGGTGGTGCCGGGGCCACGCCGAGGGCCCGCTCGTGGCGCAGTCAGCCACCGGTCCACCCGCGCTCCGCGGAAACATGGATTTCTCCCCGCGCCCCAGCAGTCTGGCCACGGGCTCGCGTGGCCGCTGCCGGTTCAGGACGCGTGCCTATCGCTGACAACCATGACCTGTACAAGCTTAAAAAACGCCAACTGTCCAACAGTGGCTTTGCTGGGAGTAAAAATAGAGATAAGTGTTACCAAAATAGAAGCCTTTATTCATAAAAATCTTTGGTAGTAACAGTATTTAAGGTCTTCTCAATGATATTTGCTTAACTAAGATAATAAACTCCTTCCACCTTTGAACTACAGGAAAAAAAATCCTCAAATCCACCACAGAATTGATTGATTTCCTAAAAAAAAAAAACCAATAAATATCCAAACGCTCCGAGTGGCCCCTGGAAGCCGGAAGACTTCTTGCAGCCCTTAGGCGGTCGGCTTCTGGAAACGCGCCCAAGGCCACGGCCAAGCGCGCCGTGTCCCACGCTGCAGGGGCGAGACTTCCGTGCGGGCGGGGCGGCTCGCAGGGGCGCAGCCAGGGCCACTGCGCCCGTCTGGGCCTCCGAGAAGCATCGGACGTGGCCGTGGCCTCCCGTGAGCCGGGCGGGGCCCCCTGCTGACCAGGGCGGCTCAGCTCCTGACCCGGGGCGGGAAGAGACCGGCAGGCCTCTGGCTCCTCCGCTTCTGCGCTCCCCGCGGGCTGCATCGGGTCTGCCAGGCCCGGGGGACCGCCTTGTGGGGACTCGTGGAGGGCTTTGGGGGGCCCCGGGCTCTGGCAGGCGTCTCTCTCCGCAGGGCGCCGCCTTCGACAGGTGCTGCCGCCTCGGCACAGCCGGCACTCTGACTCAGCTTCAACACTCAGATAAAAAAACAACTTCCCTGCATAAAGGTTTTGTGCAAAAACAAGGAAAGATGAACCAGGAGGAGAGGGAGACGTGGCCCTCCAGGCGTGCCGGGGCCTGTGGGTGGGGAGGCGGGCCGGGCCTACAGGGCGGCGCCGTGGTGGGCGGGGGGCGCGCCGGCCTTGCGCTCCTTGTCCATCCAGGTGTCCAGCAGCTGCTGCTTGCCCTGCTCCTCCCGCATGAACAGCTCGACCATGAGCACCTTCTCCTTGTGGATTTGCTGGCTGATGTCCTTGGGGATGTCTGGGATGACCCAGTCCACGAAGTCGCTCATGAACATGACCAGGTTCTGGAAGGGCAGAGCAGAGCGCGGGGCTGGGGAGGGCACCGGGGCCCTCGGGAAATGTGGTCTTTTTTCTAAGACCGCAGTTAGTGTCGGGTGAGGGTATGGGCGGGGATCTTTGACCTGCCGGTCCACTCCCCGGGTGCCCACCATAGCTGGGGCTCGGCCACGCACAGCCCTCGCCTGCTGCCTGCCAGCCGTCGGCAGGGAGCTGGCCGGGGAGCAGAGCGGCTGCGGCCCCACGAGGGCCCTGCGCAGGGGCGCCGGCATCCCCAGGGAGCGCCTGGCCTGCCGCTGCCTTCGCCGCGTGCCCCTGGCCTCCGGGAACCGGGCTCTCAGAATTCTAAACCTCTCGGCCGGAAGCCTGCACGAGGGGCTGCCGGGCCCCGGCTCAGTACACAGAACAGCTCCGCAGAAAGGAATGCTAGCGGGAGAAGCAGCCACGTGGCGGGGAGACACGTGAGCACCCGTGACGCCCGCGTGGCTCCTCTGGTCTGCAAAGCCTGCGGGGCCAGCCGGAACCCCCGCCCCGGCAGTTCTGGTGGGCAGAAAGCGACACGCGCGGCTCTATGGGGCAACCTGTCGCGACTCCACTGAGCACCTGTTAGCACCTGTGGCAGGTGCCCTCTGGCCCCCGTCCACGCGTGGCAGGGACTGGCTGCTCAGCTCACAGCCGGGAGCTTCGGCACCTCCTGGCCCCTCCTCCTCAGGCCGCTGTCTGCGCCAGGTGAGGCTGAGACCTCCTGGCCGCGCCCCTGCCTATGCTGCCCCCACCCAAGGCTTCCCCCCACAGAGGCCCCCCAGCGCAGAACCCGGCCTCGGCTCTGCTTCCTGGGAACCTGACCCTGGAGGACGGCTGTGAGGAGCCAGCAGAGGGCGCAGCTGAGCTTGGAGGCGTGGAGAGAGCCGCCCAGGCTGCAGGCACGTGGCAGGGCAGCTCTGGGGCTCTGGGCTCTGCCCTGGCACGGCCTCACGCGCTCCCGGAGTCGCACGTGAGCAGTGCCCACGGGGCTGCGGCTGCTCCTCCCTGGGGACTGCACCTGCCAGCTGCTCCTGCCTGGGCCCCCGGCCTCGGGGAGCTCCACGGGCCAGAGCCAGGAGGTCCAGGTTCTTCTGAGAGCCTGCCACCTGCTGTTGGTATTGGCCGGGTCTCGAACAAGACAGTGAGAGACCAGAGGGGTGCCCGCAGGGTCCCCTGTCTCCAGGCCTCTCACCCTGAACTAGACCTGCCCTCGGCAGCACCCAGCCCCCGGGTTCGAGTCCCGCCTCTGCTCCTAAGTCCAGCTCCCTGCTAGCAGGCCCCTGGGAGGGGGCGGCGATGGGGCCCTGCCCCCCACGCGGAGGGCCTGGGTTGTTCCAGTTCTAGCCTGGTGCGGCCCTGGGGAGTGAACCGGCAGAGGGAAGACCTCTGTGTCTGCCTTGTAAATAACATGAAAATAAAGATATAAAAATTAAGTACCAAACCTGCCCGCCCTGAGTGGAAGTGGAGCCCTCTGCCCGTGGCCCTGGCCTCGGCCTCGCCTTTGCCCGTGAGCCTCTCCCAGGCCCTGTCTTTGCACACGGCCCCTCAGGCCCCTGCCCCTGACGGCACGGGGTGACGACGCAGTGTGGCCTCACCTGGAAGACGATGACGAACGCCAGGCGGGCGGCCAGCACCGCCCAGAAGTCCTTGGAGATGTCGTACTTGTGCTCCGACCACGGGGGCTCGCGGTAGTCCTTGTACCTGCGAGGGACGGCCGGGCGTGGGGGCGTGGTCAGCACCACCCGGGCCCGGTGGCGTGGGAGAGGCAGAGGGAGCCTCTGCGCTGGGGGTGGGGGCCGGGCAGGGCCCACGGGGCTTCCTGCAAAGCCAGACACCAGGAAGCGCTGCCGCTTGGGCCGCGCTGTGGCCGCACGCAGCCCTGGGACTCTCCCGCCCAGCAGTGTCCCCACTTCCAAAGGACGGGAACCCTTGTCCCGCGGGGATCTCACCTGGGGCCCCAGGAGGCCCCAGAGAGCAGGGCCTGCCTGGCTGGAAGGGGTGGGCTGCCCCCACCCCCATCTCGTACCTCCCCCACCCCCCGGGGAACGACTCCAGAAAAACAACACAGGGCCATGTCCCCAGTGGCCGGGCGGGCGGCAGACACCCGCCCCAGCGCCTGCCAGGCCCTGTCCCCAGGCCCCCGCCGCCTGTCCGCCAGCTGCTGCTTGGTTGTCGCCATCAACCCCTCAGCCTGTCCTGTCTGCGGACTGCTGCCGATGGCTTTGCGCAGGGGGCAGGAAGCCTTGGCTCTCCCCGGGGTCTGTGTCCCCCAGGGCCCCTCCCACTGCTCCCCGACTCCGGCGGGGGGCGTGCCACACCCCCTGGGGCTTGGCCTGATGGCGCTGCCACCCCCACAGTGTTGGGCGGGCCTCAAAAGTGGGTCAGGGGACGTCCACACCAGGGCAGGGGCTCCCAGCTCGGCGGCAGGCGCGGCCTGGCCGGGCAGTTAGGGCTCACGTCCAGCAGGGAGAGCAGGCGCAGGGGCAGTGGGCTGTGCAGGCCCCGCCCTGGCCTCTCTGGGCCTCCGTGTGACTGCCCCCCAGCGGCACACATCTACTCAGCGCCTGCTGCGTGCCAGAGTCCGTGCGAGGGGTGGGGGTTCAGCGGGGGGCCCGGCAGCGCCCTCACCACCCAGAACTCTGTGTGAGTGTGAGTGTATGTGAGTGTATATGTGTGTGTGTGCATGAGTGAGTGTGTGTGTGTGAGTGTGTCAGAGGCGCAGCCTCGGAGCCGGTGGGAGCCGGGACAGATTCAGGCCGGAACCCACGCCTGGCGCAGCCCCGCCCCCAGCGACAGAAGCCACACCTGCCGTCCCCTCTCTCGAGACCAGCTGTGCTGGAATCCTAGCGAATACCGTCACCCGGAAAACTCCTATGCACGCTTTAGTGCCCAGTGGGAGCTGGGGTCAGGCGCCACCCCCACGCCTGCCCTGACCTCTGGCTCCCCCGGGGAGGACGGGGAGCCCTCTCTGGGTGTGGAGCGCGGATGCCATGGGACAAGGCCTGTGTCAGGGCTAGAGTGAGGGACGGCTCCCCGCTCAGCCACATCCCCGCCTCGGGGGGTGGCCAGCACCGGCTGGGAGCTCACAGCACCAACACACAAGGTCACGGCCCTGGGATGGCGAAGGCCCGGCTAAGCCCCAGCCCGGGGGCCGGTGTTGCGGCACAGCGGGTTAAGCCGCCATCTTCAACGCTGGCTTCCCTTATGGGCCGCTGGTTGGAGTCCCGGCTGCTCCACTTCTGACCCAGCTTCCCGCTGATGGCTTGGGAAGGCAGCGGAAGACGGCCCGAGTACCGGGGCCCCGCACCCACATGAGAGACCTGGATGGAGCTCCTGGCTCCTGGCTTTGACCTGGGGAGGGAGCCGCAGAGGGAAGCGCACAAGACCAAACCAACCTCCAAGCCCCGAGGAGTGAAACGGGGAGACCCACGGTTTCCTGTCTCCGTGGAGCTCAGGATCACGGACGCTTAGACACCGGCTGTCAGTCCTGTGTTCCTGGCCAGGATACCCCCGGGCGCGGGCCGGGGGCCCGGAACCCTGGCTCCTTCCCGCCAAGCGCGGCTCAGCCCTCACCTGGCGGGCATCCCGCTACTGTCCCAGGGGCCTTTGGGAAACGAGCCAACTCTTCTCCACGGAATTTTCTGTCAAACCTGTGCCTTGCAGCTCTAACCCAGGCCTCCCCCGGCCAGCGCTGGGTGGTCTGACTGTCCTGCGGCGGGGTCACCTTGCTCCAGGGGGAACCGTGTGGCTGAGCTGGGGCTCGCCCTGGGGCCAGCCGAGGCTGGGTCGCCCGCACGTCACCGGCTAAGTGCAGGAGCCTGTGTCCAGGAACAGGCGCTGGGCGGGGCGTCCACACCTGGTCTGTCCTGCCCCTCCCTTCCCCACGCAGTGCAGGGGCCCCCGGGGCGTTGCTGACCCCCGGCTGTCTGTCTGTCCTGCTGCAGGCCTGGGCCCCGAGGCCCTCACCAGCTCAGGGCCGCCGCCCACCGGACACCCAGCCCTGGCGTCTGGGAACCTGGGGCCCGGCGTTTCGCGCGCTGGGCCTTGGCTGTCGGCAAACGTTTCACCCGAGGTGACCCGAGGGGCTCAACTTGCTGCCTGCCCTGAGCCCTGCACAGCCCCCTGAGCAGCCGCGCGGGGCGGGGCCTGCAGCTCCCTCTGCCCCAGGGCCCGCCTGCCCCTCCCCCACCGCCTCGTACACTTAGTGCCCCAGGAAAACAGAGGCTGACGGTGTGCACTGCTGCGTCTCCCTGGGACGTCCCGCCCTGCACCCCCCATCTGGGACGTCCCGCCCTGTACCCCACACACACACCTGGGACGTCCCGCCCTGTACCCCCCCCCACACCTGGGACGTCCAGCCCTGTACCCCCCCACACACCTGGGACGTCCCGCCCTGCACCCCCCACGTGGGACGTCCCGCCCTGCACCCCCCCCACCTGGGACGTCCCGCCCTGCACCCCCCACCTGGGACGTCCCGCCCTGCACCCCCCACACCTGGGACGTCCCGCCCTGCACCCCCCCCACCTGGGACGTCCCGCCCTGCACCCCCCACACACCTGGGACGTCCTGCCCTGCGCCCCCCCCACACCTGGGACGTCCTGCCCTGCACCCCCCACACACCTGGGACGTCCCGCCCTGCACCTGCCTCTCCCTGGGACGTCCCGCCCTGCACCTGCGCCTCCCTGCGACGTCCCGCCCTGCACCCCCCACCTGGGACGTCCCGCCCTGCACCTGCCTCTCCCTGGGACGTCCCGCCCTGCACCCCCCCCACCTGGGTTTCCCGTGGGTGCTCCTTCTGCACTGAGCTATGTTTGTCTCTCCTGCACTGAGGCCCGTGGGCAGCTGGGGTCACGCTGCCCACTCCCAAGCCCCAGCCCCTAGCCCAGGCTGCCCCAGGAAGTCCCATGGTCCCAGGCCCAGGCTCCGCCCTCATTCCCTGTCCAGGCTTCCATCTCCCACGGGGCTCCCTGCAAACCCCTGGAGCGCCTGGCCAGGCGGAGCGGCCCACGGGCTTGGAGCCTCGGGAGCCGCTGCTGCTGCCCGCCCGGCCCCGCTTTGCCTTGGGGTTTCCCATGACCCCAGACGACGGCCGTCGGCCAGGCCTGGCCGCCGAGCGTCCTCCGGTGAGACTCAGAGAGAGACACCTGCGGGAAATGGCAGGCTGCACCGGGGCTGCGGGGCGGCCTGCGGGGAGGGGGCCCTCTGCCTGCCAGGAAGCGGCGCCGACACAGAGAGGAGCAAGGCTGGGGGCCTCCCGGCAAACTGCAGCTCCTGGATCCAGCTGTGCCTGAAGCCATCCACGAGTCGCCCCCTTCTCTCCTCCCTGGGACTTGCCTCTGAGCGACTGCGGGCCCTCCCAGAAGCCCAGCCCGGGCGGCTGGCAGGGCGGTACCTGCAGATCTGCACCTCGTAGCCCAGGCCCAGGGGGTCGCTGGGGGCCGTGCCGTCCTGGAAGTCACTGACGTCGAAGGAGGAGAGCGTGTGGTTGACAAAGCCGTGCATGGTCCCGTCCTGGCTGTACATGTACAGGTACACCAGGCGCGGGATGAAGTCGGACGTGAAGGAGATGACGAAGGCCTGGGCGGGAACAGGGCGCTGAGGGCGGCACCGGGCGCAGGGGGCCAGCCACGGCTCCATCCCCCGCAGCCCGAGGAGGGGCCTGGGGCCAGGACTGAGCTGAGCGGGGAGGCACGGGAGCGTGCTGGCTGGCTGGCTGGCGGCTGCTGCACGGCCTTGGACAAACCGCCTCGCCACTCTGCCTCTGCCCGGTTCTCGTCCGAGCCCTGCCCGCTCTGTGCTGGGCCAGCAGGTGGACCTCAGAGCCCCAGGCCGCGGGCAGAGGCGGGTGGACCTCAGAGCCCCAGGCCGCGAGCAGAGGCGGGTGGACCTCAGAGCCCCAGGCCACGGGCAGAGGCGGGTGGACCTCAGCGGGGGGCGGTGTGCCGGACGGAGCGGCCAAAGCATCCCCACCCCGTGGGCTCGGAAACCGAGGACCCCCGGCAATGGGAGAGGCCAGCAGGGGTGGGGAACCCCGGGCTGAGCAGAGCTGCACGTGGGGGCGGGGACTGCGGGTCTCCCCTTCTCGCCACGTGTCTGCGTGAGCAGACATGCACGTCACAGAAACGTGAGGAACTGACTGTCCCTCCCAGTTCGTCCCTGTCTCCCCCTCCCCCTCCCTGTCTCCCGGGTAGGGGTGCACCTGCGGGCCGAGGCGGGCCCTCTCACTCGCGGCTTGCAGGAAGCGGCCGGGGGGGGGGGCTGTGCCGCCCCTCCCCACGGCCCGCTGCCCTGCACACCCACGGACACTTCTGCCCGGGCCAGAGCGCTGCCCCCCACTGGGCATGGCACAGAGGGGACAACCCCAGCAGCCCGAGGCCCTGTCAGGGTGGAGGGCAGGAGGCCCCGGCCGGCCCCGCCCCCACGGACAGCGCCCGCCCGCAGCCGGGCTGGGCCCGGTCACTCACGTTGATGATCACGGCGAGCTTCCCCACGCCCCGGAGAATGTTGTACCAGATCCCTGCGGGAGGAGCGACCGCGGCGTCAGAGGCCCCTCCGGGACACGGCTCACGGGCAGCGGCCCGGGCCCCGCGCGTTCCCACGGCAGGCGGACTTGCGGCCATGGGGTGCTGCGAGGGGCGGGCCGGGGGGCGCCGGGGCCACAGCTGAGCCCGGCCCAGCAGCTGTCCGTGAGCAGCGGAGCTTCTCCAAGCCGCTGTCCCGCGTGGTTCTGAGCTGTCCCCCCACGAGCCTGCGTCTGCCCGGGGGCTCAGGTGCACCCCCCCAAGCAAGAACCGCACTGGGGACAGGCCACAGGCGCTCGGTGTGCACGCATGGGCCCCTGGGTGCCCTCCTGAGCCAGGCCTGAGAGGGACGGGACCTGGACTGCTCAGACAAGCAGGCCAGGCCAGCACAGCCAAGCAGAGGCCACGGTCCCCCGCCACCCGTCCCGGACAGCGACCCACAATGCTCAGCTGTCCCCCAGCACTCTCTGGTGCCCGTCACTCCTCCTGGGCCCACAGGGGCCACAGCCTAACCCAAGATACTTGGCACGGCTCTGTGTGGCCTTTCTCTGGGCCTGAGGGAGGCAGGTGGGCACGCGTGAGCCGGAGGCGGCAGGAGGGGGCACGTTCTTGCAGCACCCGGGTCATGAGAGGGAGCCCCTTCCCGCCCCCCGCATCTGCGCCTCCCCCGCTGAGAGCCCTCTGGGGATTCCAGGCGCCGGGCAGGCTGCAGACTGCACATCCCTGTATCCGGGCCTCGCTCAGTGTCGGAAGTGTTTGCTGAGTGACTGAGCGGCCGTCTGAAGCCCTTGCCAGTGACTGCCTGTCCGTGGCTTGCTGCTGCTCCAAGAACACTGTCTGATGTTTAAAAAGCCAGGATGGTGAAGTTTTAAAAATGTAGGCAGATGGGGCCAGCGCTGTGGCGCAGTGGGTTAAAGTCACCACCTGCAGGGCCAGTATCCCGTAAGGGTGCCAGTTCGAGTCCCGGCTGCTCCACTTCTGATCCAGCTCTCTGCTGTGGCCTGGGAAAGCAGTGGAAGATGGCCCAAGTCCTTGGGCCCCTGCACCCCCGTGGGAGACCTGGAAGAAGCTCTTGGCTTCAGATCAGCTCAGCTCTGGCCATTGCGGTCATTTGGGAATTGAGTCAGCGGATGGAAGACTGATTCTCTCTCTCTCTCTGACTCTACCTCTCTCTGTAACTGTCTTTTAAATAAGTAAAACAAATCTTAAAAAAAAAAAAGTAGGCAGCTGCTTTGGAAACATCCTAACACTGGCTTGACTGATGGTGGCGCCCCCTGGAGGCAGGACCACGCACAGCAGCCCCGCTCTCCGCTCAGGGACGTGCATGGCCACCAACCCCATTACCACTGCCTTAGCCTTCTGTCTTCAGAGAAATATTCGTCCAAACCCAGCTCCCTACTGATGTGAGCACACAAGAAGCAACTGTGACATTCGCGGGCTCTGCTGGCTCTTGGACTCAAGCCGGAGACCTCCAAGGTGGGGCGCTGGGTGTGGGCGAGCCTGGGTCCCGAGCCCAGCACTCGACAGGACCTGGGTGAGCAGTCGGCCTGGGTGACTGCCCAAGGGGCCCAGAGAGGCGCCACAGGGCACGAGAGGGGTCTTCCGGCCCCCTTCTGGCGTGGAGCCCGTCCTGCCAGTTCCTGCACCCCTCCAAGTCCCGGTAGGGGCTCTCGGAGTGGTCCCTGGACCATCGGGATGCACCCAGCACCGGCCTCTCTCGGGGTGGGTGGGCCGAGACGGCACCTGACGTCACTGTGACGCTCGGGGAGCCTCCTGGCCATTGAGATTCTGTGGTTCTCACGCGGCTCTCGTAAGCGAGCTCTGCCTCACTACTCCTCCCGTAAGGACTGTGCGTAAACACCCGAGGGTACTCAACCCCATTCCGAGGACAGGATGGGGTACCGGGCAGAGCCAGGAGCTGGCGGGGGAGGGGGTGTGGGGTGCTGGGCCTGCGCACACGCTGGCACCTGCTGGGCCGGCCCTGAAACGCACAGAAGCAGGAAGTCGGAGCTCGGGACTGGGGGCTGGGGCCCAGGTCTCACAGCACAGCCGGGGCCCTACGGTGACCTCAGCAGGCCACAGCAGGGCCACGGGGCGCCTGGCCACCCAGGCAGGGCCCAAGGGGCACAGGTCCGTCTGGGCCCTCTGTCCCCTTGGGTGCCTGCCCAGGGGCCTGGCCCTGCACGCCTCACAGGAGGAACACAAAAGCCTCCTCAGGGAAAGCCCCGGGGAAGGGGCCGGTGCCCAGCTGCGGGGAGGAGGGGCACACGCCAGGCTGGCAGGCAGCAGGAAGCGAGCGCTCCATCCGGGAGAGCCAGGGCGGACACGGCGTCCGGGGCTCCCGCAGAAGCCCGGCTGGCATCAGGGGCCGGGGCAGCCGGGAGGCCACCGTGCAGGCCCCTGCGCGCCTGCTGGCTCCGCACGTTTCCAGATGGGACAGCCAGGCTTCCCGCGGGGGGGACGCCAGAGCGCACGCCCGCCCGCCCGCCGTGGCTCCGCAGGGCCTCCGGGTCTTGGTGAGGGCCGCACTGTTCTTCCCTGCAACCGGCAGGGGCTCTGTCCCCCGCCTGTCCCCCGCCCACCGGCCAGGCCACCCCAGCACTCCCCTTGCAGAGCCCTGGGGGGCAGCCTAACAGCTCCTAAAGCAAGTGCTCCCGCTGGTGGCCGGGGGTGGGGGTGGGTGTACTCTCTGCCTCTGGCTCAGCCTCTGCTGAGGGTCCCAGTCTCCCCATAAGCAGAGAATCTGCCCACGCTTCCTCCAGGGCTCCTTGGACAACCCAAGGGGACAGACGTTCCAGGGAGAGCTGTGCACGCAGACCTCTGGGCGTGGCCTCCCAAGCAGGGTGTGCGACGAGAACCTGGGCTGCAGCTCGGCCTTGCTGGGGGAGAGGGGGGTTGCGAATGCGAGGACTCCCCGAAGAGCGCCCCCCCTCCACGAGCAGCTGGGAAGGGGGTTCCAAAATTTTGTGCACCGAAAAGAACTCTTTTGAATTTCGTCTTCTCTGCAAATTCATGAAGCCCCTCCTGCCCGGGGTGCGTGGCCGGCCCAGCCCCTGTCCGTCTTCCGCCTGCCTCCTGCCTCGGGCCAGAGGACGTCTGCGCATCTTCGAGCGTGGGTGGGACTCAGCCTCCCAGTGAGGACAGCAGCTCTGAGCCCAGGGCTCCGTCCACACGGCTCTGCTCCCAGGGCCTTTTCAGAAACAGCGCTGACCTCCGCTCCAGCGGCCCTTAGGGGCAGGAGGCTCAGCCCACGGCCTCGGGGAGGCCGCACCAGGGATGCTGGATGAGGAGGGACCTCGGGGTCACTCAGCACAGGGTGTGGACATCTGGAGCAGAGAGCGTCTGGGCAAGTCCGCAAACTGGGCAGCCGGGGCGCGAGGGGCCAGAGCCAAGTGCCCAGCCCAGGGGCCGTGACCCCGGCCCCGTGCACCCCAGCTCGGACGGCCCTCCCCAGAGCACCTCGTTTCCAGGCCGGGGCTCCCCTCTTTGCTCCCGTGGCACAAGCACGAAGTCTGCAGGGGTGAACTGGACAGACCCCCGACACTGGACCACACTCGACCTGTGAGGCCGGCACCGCCGACGGGTGCGGTCTCTTAAGGCGGCCAAGCCAGAGCTCTGGCGGTGTGGCCATCTCTGGTGGGGCGGTGGGGATGCCACCAGAGCCACTGTGTGGCCCAGGGAGCTTCCAGCCCAGGTAGAGCCACCAACAAACGAAAGAATGTTTCCAATGAGAATGACTCCGGTCCAGGACTGCAGGGACTGGTGCAGCTGCCATGCTTGGCAAGACTGGGACTGTAGGGCTGGTATTGTGGTGCAGCGGGTAAAGCCACCGTCTGCGGTGCCGGCTCCCATGTGGCCGCCGGATCCAGTCCCGGCTGCTCCACTTCCGATCCAGCTCCCTGCTAACGAGCCCAGGAAAGCAGAGGAAGACGGCCAGGAATCTGGGCACCCACGAGGGAGACCCGGGGCCGGAGTGTCAGGCTCCTGGCTTCCGCCCTGGCCATCGAGGCCACTTGGGGAGCTGATGGAAGACCTCTCTCTCTTTCTGTCTCTCCTTTTCTCCAACTCTGCCTTTCAAATAAATAAAAAATATATCTAAAAGAATAGATTAAGCCGAGCACAGGAGCCCAGCCTGTCGCCGTGCAAGTCCATCTTGCTCACGGCAAGCGCTGGCGCAGAGGCGCGGCCGTAGCCGAAGCTGCCCGGCGCCGCTCTGTCGGCTCCCCGGGAGGATGACACGGGCACCGTGTTTGCTGCTCGGAGTCGCTCAGCCACAGCCCGTACGGCCCCCTGACCAACCCCGGCCAGGGGCCAGCTCTGTGTGGGCCTAGGTGCCCCAAGGCAGTGCGCCCCACGCCTCCCCACCCATCGCCTCCGCGTCAGGACCTGCCTGGAAGGTGTCCTGGACCTGGCGTGGCCCCTGGGCACAGCCCGCGCTGCCCACCTGCTTCTGGGAGCCCTCGCTGTCTCCTGCCGAGCGGCCCTGTCCCCGCCCCCCACCCCAACCGGTCAGCGCTGCGTCCTGGGAGCGGCTGCCACGGGGAGGGGCCTCCCCAGACGCCGACAGCAGGTTGCTGGGACAGTCGGACACAAGGCACTCGCTCTGCCCAAACGGCCACCCACCCCCGGCCGGCTCATCCCCATCGCGGGAGGAGGGCGGTGAGTGTCCGCGCGTGGGGTCACCTGGCCCGGGCTCCACCCGGCAGGGGGCAGGGCTCTGGCTTCAGGGCTGGCCCGCGCTCGCTCACCAATGTCCTTGGCCCTGACGGCCACGGGCCTGCGGAGCTCGGTGACGAACTTCTTGGCGTCCAGGCGGATCTCGATGATGTTGTTCAGCAGAGCGAACAGCGGGGCCAGGGGGAAGGACGCCACGAACAGGGTCACGAAGCCGAACTGGATGACTGCGAGAGGGGCGCTCAGCGCCGCGGCTGTGCCCCGGCCCGGACGGCGGGGCCAGGTGAACCCTGGGTCTGGCCAGTGCCCACCTACAGAGAGGCGCTCCTGGCCAGACCCACGGTGACCCAGGACTCTGCCCAGAATCCCAGTGTTGGCACCGCTTCTCAGTGGCCAAGGTCACACGTCACCGCCCGACATGGTTGGGTGTGACAAGGCTCAGGGCCCGGGTCTCTGGTGAGCTCCTGATCTGCTGGGGCTGCAGCCAGACCACAGGTGGGCAGGCCTGGCCCCTGGCTCCCTGTGGGCTCCCGTGAGGAAGGGGAGACGAGCTACAGACCCAGAGTGGGATTCGGAAGGGCTTCAGGGTGGGGGGCGGTGCCCCGAGCGGGCTGTGTCGGGCCGCGCTGAGACCTGGATGACCGGGGACTCGGGCTGCCCCCGGAAGACAGGGCCGACCCAGAGCAGAGGCCCAGGGCCGCTGTCGCCCCTCCCTGCCTGCCTTCCTGCCCGATGCTCTGGGAGGGACAGGCGTGTCCGCGGCCCCGCGGCCGAGCGCACGTACTCATCTCCATGTACTCGGGGGTGAGGCCGGCGAAGGGCTCCAGGTTGAAATCCACCTCGTAGCGCTGCTTCTTCTTCACGCTCTCCTCGCGGGCCGAGGGGCTCTGCCGCTTCAGCTTCAGGTACCGGATGAACTTCTTCATTTTCCTGGGAGAGGCCGGGCGTCACCGGGTGGGCGGGGCGCGGGGGCTGCGGCTGGTCGTGGACCCTGCGCTGGGCGGGGCGCGGGGGCTGCGGCTGGCCGTGGACCCTACGCTGGGCGGGGCGCGGGGGCTGCGGCTGGTCGTGGACCCTGCGCTGGGCGGGGCGCGGGGGCTGCGGCTGGCCGTGGACCCTACGCTGGGCGGGGCGCGGGGGCTGCGGCGGCTTCTCCAGCCGGCCTCCCTCTGGGGCTCAGGCATCACGGCAAACAGGTGCAGGGCCCGGCAGGTATGGGGGGGTGGGCACAGGGGGTCTGGCCTGCCCTCGTGGATCAGGCCCAGGACCTGGGTTTCCAAAGCGGGCGGTGCCCGGAGCCAGCGCCCAGGTTTGGGCCCCTGGATCCTCAGCCAGCTTGGGCAGTGGGGGTCCCCCAACTTCCTCCCCGTCCCTCGCCCCGGGTGGGGTGACCTAAGGCTTCTCCCCCCGTCCCTCAGCGCCTCCCCGGCACCCATGGGAGCACCCCCCAGCCCCCTCGGCCCCACCCCCGGCCCTCGGCCCCGCCCCCGGCCCCGCCGCCGGCCCTCGCCCCCGCCCTCAGCCCCGCCCCCGGCCCCGCCCACTCACGGGATGCCGATCTCGAAGAGGTTGTTCTGGATGAGCTGCTTGCCCAGCATGATGATGCTGAGCTGGATGCACAGCTCCATGAGGCAGCCCCCGGGGGCGCACTGCGGGGGGAGAGAGCCGCGTCAGCCCGCCTGGTCCCCGGGACCCGGGGGGGGGGCGCACTGCGGGGGGAGAGAGCCGTGTCAGCCCGCCTGGTCCCCGGGACCCGGGGGGGGCGCACTGCGGGGGGAGAGAGCCGTGTCAGCCCGCCTGGTCCCCGAGACCCCGGGAGGGGGGCGCACTGCGGGGAGAGAGCCTCGTCAGCCCGCACCTGGTCCCCGGGACCCGGGGGGAGGGGGCGCACTGCGGGGAGAGAGCCGGGTCAGCCCGCGCCTGGTCCCCGGGACCCGGGGGGGGGCGCACTGTGGGGAGAGCCGCGTCAGCCCGCGCCTGGTCCCCGGGACCCGGGGCGGGGCGCACTGCGGGGAGAGCCGCGTCAGCCCGCGCCTGGTCCCCGGGACCCCGGGGGGGGGCGCACTGCGGGGAGAGAGCCGCGTCAGCCCGCCTGGTCCCCGGGACCCGGGGGGGGGCGCACTGCGGGGGGAGAGAGCCGCGTCAGCCCGCGCCTGGTCCCCGAGACCCCGGGAGGGGGGCGCACTGCGGGGAGAGAGCCTCGTCAGCCCGCACCTGGTCCCCGAGACCCCGGGAGGGGGGCGCACTGCAGGGAGAGAGCCTCGTCAGCCCGCACCTGGTCCCCGGGACCCGGGGGGAGGGGGCGCACTGCGGGGAGAGAGCCGGGTCAGCCCGCGCCTGGTCCCCGGGACCCGGGGGGGGCGGGCGCACTGTGGGGAGAGCCGCGTCAGCCAGCGCCTGGTCCCCGGGAACCGGGGGGGGGGCGCATGGCTGAGGAGCCAATACAGACAGGGGTCCTGGAGGAGAAGTCAGCCCCACGCCTGGTCCCCGGGACCCCGGGGGTGCACTGCGGGGAGAGCCGCGTCAGCCTGCGCCTGGTCCCCGGGACCCGGGGGGGGCGCACTGCGGGGAGAGCCGGGACCCGGGACCGGGGGGGGGGGTGGTGCATGGCTGAGGAGCCAACACAGACAGGGGTCCTGGAGGAGGGGTCAGCCCCGTGCCTGGTCCCCGGGTGTGGGGGGGTGCACGGCTGAGGAGCCAACACAGACAGGGGTCCTGGAGGAGCGGTCAGCCCCGCGCCTGGTCCCAGGGTCCCCAGGTTGGGGGGTGCACGGCTGCGGAGCCAACACAGACAGGGGTCCTGGAGCAGGACCCCTTACAGGAAGGAACACACATGGCGCAGGGGGAGAGCACGCAGACAGGGCAGGGGCTGGCGAGTGCGCAGGGGAGTGCCAGGGCCTCCCGCAGCCCGGCACCCCAGCCGTGGAGGAGCCTGGTCCCGGGGGCACCTCCACTCGGCATCTCGGGTCTCCAGCAGCCCGAACAACTTTCAGATTTATTTATTTGAAAGGCTGAGTGACAGAGAGAGGGAGAAACTGGTTCCTGGTCTCCTCTCCAAATAAGTGCAATAGCTGGGCTGCGCCAGACTGAAGTCAGGAGCCAGGAACTCCACCGGGTCTCCCATGTGAGTGGCAGGGGCTCAAGCCCTTGGGCCATCTCCCGCTGCCTTCCCAGGTGCATGAACAGGGAGCTAGACCGGAAGCGGAGCAGCCGGGACTTGAACCAGCACCCTGATATGGGATGCGGGCACTGAAGTGTGACTGCACCTGCTGTGCCACCATGCCAGCCCCATTCTCACTGTTCTGGGCCACCCAGGCTGTGGTCAGACTGCCAGGGCAGGAACCACGGCTCTGAGAGGGGTGTGCACGGCCAGGGTGCAGGCAGTGGTGGGACCGGATCTCTGGCTTCTCCCCCTTCCCCAGGCCCGGGCAGCCCCTGCCCCAGCCACCTGTCCACAGGCTGTGTCCCCGGGCCCTGGGGAAGTCCATGGTGAGGCTGCCGCCATCCCAAGCCTAACGCCCAGCCGTGGACTCCAGCCGCTGCAGGCTGGGCTTGGGGCAGGCAGGGGACGGTCCAGTGCCTTCCTGGGCAAGCAGCTTCACTTGTCCAAGCCAGGGGAGCGCAAGGGATGCCTTGTGCCCCTGGGACACGGGGACCCTGAGACTTAAAAATATTCATGGGAAGGGGAATTAAAAGATAAATTTATTTCATCGTAAAATTTTAAATCTATGATAGTGTTTTCATAAAATGCATTTTTCATTTTTCCATGAACTTATTTTAAAATCTAAGAGGCAGGGCCGGCGCTGTGGCTTAGCAGGTAAAGCCGCCACCTATGATGACAGCGTCCCACGTGGGCATCAGTTCGAATGCCGGCTGCTCCACTTCCGATCCCGCTCCCTGCTAGTGCACCTGGGAAAGCAGAGGAAGGTGGCCGACGTGCTCGGGCCCCTGCACCCGCCTGGGAGACCTGACTTCTGGCTTTGGCCTGGTCCAGCCTTGGCTGCTGCAGCCATTTGGGGAGTCAACCAGCAGATGGAAGACCTACCTCTCCCTCTCTCTCTCTGTAATTCTTTCAAATTAATAAATAAATATTTTTTAAAAATTGGGAGGCAGAGCAGAGACTAACAAAGTGGGTTCTTATCCACTGGCTCATTCCCCAAAAGCCTGCGACAGCCGGGGGTGGGCCAGGTGGAAGCGGAGCCGGCAGCTCAACCCAGGTTTCCCACGAGCTGGCCTGGCCCAGTTACCCGGATCATCACTGGCAGGGGCGGCGGGCTGGGGCTGGGGCCGGGCCAGGATTCGGGCACGGAGTCTTGACTGCTTGCCCTCTGAGGCTCTCTGTGCACGGTCCCTGCCTTACGGAGTTATCAGCGTATCTGAGGGAGCCACCATTCATAAACCACAAGGCAGGCCTGTGCTCCGCTCTGTCCTACAAGACCTTTATCCAAAACTCGCCGGGCCTGACAGGGCGTCCTCCAGGTCACAGAGGTCAGATGAGAAGCAGAGGATGGCGTGGGCCTTGGGGGGTGGGGAGGACGGGGTCCAGGCCTGCAGGCGGGGGCTGGACCTGGGCTGCACTCCCTACAGCCCGATGGCCCTGCACCCGACGCCCGCCCCAGCCTGCAGGGTCTGGGTCTGCACCAGGAAGAGCCTCCTCCTATTTTCTGAAAAACTCAAAGTCAGCCGGAGCCCTGGACCACGGGCCCGGCGCGGGGGAGACCTGGGCCTGGGGACACACAGGGCAGCACCAGCGCAGGGGCCGGGACTCAGCGCCGGGTGCAGACCAGAGCCTCGCGGTCAGTGCGGCTGCGCAGAAGCCGGCAGCGGCGCCCCCTCTCCTGTGTGTCACCCACTGGGTGCCTTGTTTTCTTTCCCTGACTCCGCGGGGTTTCTCCCTCCAGGGCACACAGCGAGCGAGGGCAGAGTCCCAGGGCGGGGAGCACGGGGAACCCAGAAGAGCAGCACCGAGGCCGCCTGCCCACAGACGTGGCCCTGCCTCCCCCCGCTTCCCCGTGCGGCCAGAGCATGCGGGGGACGCGGGACACGGGGGGTGGTTACCTCTTCCATGCGGAAGGAGCGGAAGATGTACACGTAGTCGCCCGGGCGCCCCACAAACCTGCAGCAAGGGGGGAGATGTCAGCGGGAAGCCGGGGCTCGGGCGAGGCCACACGGGGGGCGGCGCCCACCGCCATCCCCCAGCGAGAGCCCGCGTGTGCATCTGCATCGGCCGTTCTTCACTGCTGAGAAATGGGGTTTCCTACAGGGTGGGGCAGGGAACCACGGTCGGAAAGCAGGAGATGAGAGACAGGTTAAGGCCCCGGCTCGCGGCTAAACCGCGCCCTGCCAACAGCCGGGACCAGGACATGCATGCTGGTGGCAGCTCGTGGCAGGAAGGGTCCTGAGACGGCTGTGGCCAAAGGCAGCCTGGCTCTAGCGAGGCGGTCACCCCTCGGCCTCCAAGACATGGTGCAGGCCGTGGGAGCCTCTGAGACCCTGCCCCCTTCTTGTGGATGTGCCCTCGGGGTGCTGGGCCCCACGGGCACGGGTGGACAGACATCTGCAAATCTGCTAGGGGCCCCTATGGAGGGGTGGGGGCTCACGGTGGGCGAGTGCAGGCCCAGGAGAGCTCCAAGGGTCGGGGGGGGGTCATCCCACCATGAGCTCAGGACCAGCCCAGCTGGCTGCGGGCTGCACCTCTTACCCCCGCCCACTTGATCCCGCCTACGGCGCAGCCTGGGGTCCCCACTGCTCAGCGTCCTGGTGCTGGGGGACTTGCTGCTGTCTGGAGTCCCTGCTGCCCAGCGGGAATCAGGCTGCCCGGCCCCCTACCCCGGCAGCTGGAAGAGCGCCCGCGCCTGCTCTGCCCTGGGCTTCCGGAGATGGTGGGGGGAGCCCCCACCAGACTGGGGAGGAGCGAGTGGGGGAGGCTGAAGCCCCTACCGGCCTTTGAAGAAAGCCACGTAGAAGATGGGGGTGTAGGAGTTCACGAACTTCAGCAGGAAGGCCTTGAAGATGAGCCGCTCCTCAAAGCTCTTCTCGGTCTTGGGCACCTCTGCAGGGCAGCGGCCGGGGACGCGGCGGTCACTCCCACCAGCGCCGGCCCCCAGCCTCCAGGCATGGACAGGCATGGGCCCACAGTGCCCACGCACAGACAGGCACGGGCCCACAGTGCCCACGCACCGACAGGCCACAGGCCCACAGCCCCCACGCACAGACAGGCACAGGCCTACAGCCCCCATGCACCGACAGGCACGGGCCCACAGCGCCCACGCACAGATAGGCACGGGCCCACAGCCCCCACGCACGGACAGGCATGGGCCCACAGTGCCCACGCACGGACAGGCACGGGCCCACAGTCCCATGCACGGACAGGCACGGGCCCACAGCCCCCATGCATGGACAGGCCGTGGGCCCACAGTGCCCACACATGGACAGGCACAGGCCCACAGTGCCCACGCACGGACAGGCACGGGTCCAGAGCCCCCATGCACGGACAGGCACGGGCCCATAGCCCCCACGCACCGACAGGACACAGGCCCACAGCCCCCATGCACAGACAGGACACAGGCCCACAGTGCCCACGCACGGACAGGCACAGGCCCACAGCCCCCATGCACGGACAGGCACGGGCCCATAGCCCCCACGCACCGACAGGACACAGGCCCACAGCCCCCATGCACAGACAGGACACAGGCCCACAGTGCCCACGCATGGATAGGCACGGGCCCACAGCCCCCACGCATGGACAGGCACGGGCCCACAGCCCCCATGCACAGACAGGCCACAGGCCCACATCCCCCACGCATGGACAGGCACGGGCCCACAGTCCCCACTCACGGACAAGCCGTGGGCCCACAGTGCCCATGCATGGACAGGCCACGGGCCCACAGTGCCCACACATGGACAGGCCATGGGCCCACAGTGCCCACGCATGGACAGGCCATGGGCCCACAGCCCCCACGCACGGACAGGCCACAGGCCCACAGCCCCCACGCACCGACAGGCCACAGGCCCACAGTCTCCACGCATGGACAGGCACGGGCCCACAACCCCCACGCACGGACAGGCCGTGGGCCCACAGTGCCCACACATGGACAGGCCATGGGCCCACAGCCCCCACGCACGGACAGGCCATGGGCCCACAGCCCCCACGCACGGACAGGCCACAGGCCCACAGTCTCCACGCATGGACAGGCACGGGCCCACAACCCCCACGCACGGACAGGCCGTGGGCCCACAGTGCCCACACATGGACAGGCCATGGGCCCACAGCCCCCACGCACGGACAGGCCATGGGCCCACAGCCCCCACGCACGGACAGGCCACAGGCCCACAGTCTCCACGCATGGACAGGCACGGGCCCACAACCCCCACGCACGGACAGGCCGTGGGCCCACAGTGCCCACACATGGACAGGCCATGGGCCCACAGCCCCCACGCACGGACAGGCCATGGGCCCACAGCCCCCACGCACCGACAGGCCACAGGCCCACAGTCTCCACGCATGGACAGGCACGGGCCCACAACCCCCACGCACGGACAGGCCGTGGGCCCACAGTGCCCACACATGGACAGGCCATGGGCCCACAGCCCCCACGCACGGACAGGCCATGGGCCCACAGCCCCCACGCACGGACAGGCAATGGGCCCACAGCCCCCACACACTGACAGGCCACGGGCTCACAGCCCCCATGCACGGACAGGCACGGGCCCACAGCCCCCACGCACCGACAGGCACGGGCCCACAGCCCCCACGCACCGACAGGCACAGGCCCACAGCCCCCACGCACCGACAGGCCACAGGCCCACAGCCTCCACGCATGGACAGGCACGGGCCCACAGCCCCCACGCATGGACAGGCAATGGGCCCACAGCCCCCACGCACGGACAAGCAACAGGGCCGCTCCCGCCCGCCCCTCCCGGCCCCGAGGTGCTCACCGATCTTGGTGAGCCACCTGGCTATGCAGCCGTAGACCTCGTCCAGGAGGATGATGACCACCAGGTTGATGATGACGGCTGTGGCCGTGACCGTGACCCGGATGTTGGACCGCACGGAGGGGGAGGAGTTCATGGCCAGGGCGGCGGCCGTGGAGATCCTGTAGATGATGACTCCCAGGACGATGGCGAAGGTGACGGCAATCTGCGGGGGAGGGGACGCCCTGGGTCGGGGCCAGCCAGCACCCACCCCGCTCCTCCGTGGGCAACAACTGGCACTTCCTGCACCCCTGAAGGTCAGGGCCCGGCCGGAGCTGACGCAGCACTCAGAGGAGGACCCTTAGGTTGAGAGAGGGGTGTGCACAGGCCAGGCTGCCCGCCTCGCGGGGGCCCACCCAAGCCTGGAGTCCAGAGATCCTTCTGCTGTGGGGCCCACGTCCCACGCTTCGCTCCACCCGCTGTCCCCAAGCAGAGGGCAGGGCACAGACAGGGCTGAAAGCCCAGCGGCTGTCCTGGAGCGTGCCGGAGCAGCTGAGCACTGGTGGGGGGGGCTTCTCCTGTGACCTGGGGGACCCTGAGCGGAGCCAGGGCCACTGCCAGATCACAATCGGACTGGCCCCTATTCGAAGAGGTGCACCGGGCAGTGCCGCAGGCATGGCTGAGGGGGGGACTGGGTCCCTCCTCCTTACCCAAGAGCCACCCACCCCAGAGACTGAGCCCCAGCTCCTGGCAAATCCGCCTGGACCAGACCATCCCCTAGGCTCAGGCCGGCAGCTGCCCGGGAGACCGGAGCTGGCTGTTCTGCCTGTGCGTCTGTGCCTTCTCCTGGGCCCGGCTCGGCTGCAGGCCCCAGTCCTTGTCCCGCTCTGCCCGAGGGCACGGACACCCAAACCCGGCAGCTCTCTGAGGGCTCTGGGCATGTGGGGGACACCAGGAGGCGCAGGGCAGGCCCCCGGCGGGGACCCGTGTCCCAGACATCACACACTGGCTCCAGGGCAGAGCGTGGCCTTGCCCCTGCTGGCTCGGGCAAGCATGGCTCCCAGGACGGGCCCGGGCTGGGCGTGTGTGGGCCCTCCACAGCCTTCAGAGGCTCTGGGGGTGCTCGTTTGCAACTTGGAGCCATGAACTCAGGCGTCTGCACACATCGCTGCTGAGTGGAGACCGCACCCGCCCAGGGAACCGTCAGCAGCCACGCCGCACCCTGGGAAAGGGGCCGCCTGCCCAGAGGCGTGGGTGCCACTCCCCGCCAGCCCCGGGAACCAGGGCTTTCCTCGGAAAACCCCTCCGTCCTGCCAAGCGGCCCCTCCCTGGGGGAGGCACCGCCCTGGCGGGGAGGACACCTCGTGCAGGCGCAGACGGAGGCCTCCGCCCGCCGGGCTCCCTCCCCCCCGGCCGGCCCCGGGCAGCTGCCCTCTGGAGCGGGGCCCGGGGCCGGGGCTTGGCCAGCTGTCCGCAGGTGCGTTCCCTGCAGAGCGGTCAACATCTGCTCACTGAGTGGGGCCCTGAGCTGGCACAAGGCTGGGGCTCAGCCGTCCTGGCCACTGGCCTGGGAGGGCCCAAGAGGGAAGGGAGCGCTGGCCGCGTCTCCACCCAACACCCCGTCCCCCGTCGTCCTGTCTCTGCTGCGTGACAGGGTGCCCACAGATCGGAGGGGGGCACCTCTGCCAGCCTTCCCCTCCCCCGCTTCCTGTCTGGGGAGTGAGGTGATGCTGGACGTACAGCAACCATGCTAAGGCCAAGAGGGCACGCGCATGACCCGTGGAGAGAGGTCAGAGCGGCCGTGGCTCGGACCCCACGGGCCCCTCCCACCGCCAGCCAGCAGCCCTCCCACTCCTCCTCCAGTGGGCACCGAGGAAGCTGGGGGCTGCCTTCCTCCAGTGGGCCAGGGCTGCGAATACCCGGAGGCAGAGTGCACACCTTTCTCCAGGTAGCCCGGCACCAAGCCCAGAGCCTGGCTAGAGGGGACAGGACACCCTCCTGCCCAGAGCCGTCTAGAAAGTGAAACCCCTTCCCCCCACTCTCCTTCTCCAGGGAGAGGCGTCTCCACCACGGGCCTGGCCTGGCCTGATGTCCACTGAGGTCCCCCTTACTGTGCATGAGCAAACACCAAGTCCTTGTGCTGCCCCCAACACTCAGGGGCCTCGGGCCCCCAACTCAGCCTGTGGGCCAGGATGGCACCACCTCTGTCCCTGCTGTGCACAGACGGCTGTGGGCTGGGGGTGGGGCGTGGCCACGGTGCCTGTTCCCTCACTAGCAGAGACGCCACAGGCCCTCTGTGCACGCGGTCTCCGGGCCCAGGCCACGGTGCCGGGTGGTCTGAGGCTCTCACGGCTCCCGGGCTGAAGGTGGCCCCGAGCACACGCACGCTGGCTTGGGGCTAGGTGGGAACCTCTGGGGGATGACCTCCCACGATGGCCAGAACGAGGCGTTCCCCGACCGCGAGCCTGCAGTCCCAGACCGCAGCCGCTGCCCCGGAGCTGCGCTGGGAGCCTGGTCCAAGTTCTGTGCTATTTATCGCGTGGCTTTCTCGGGAGTTCTTGGTCTGTCCTCAGTGCCATCTGCAGAGCCCTCGGCCACTTCAAATCCGGGCTGCGCATCCGGGACCCGAGCTCAGCGCACGGCCCCGTCGGGGCCACTGCCAAACGGAGGGGTGCTGGCGCCCTCCGCACCTGCCCCCGGAGCCCGTGCACCATGTGGGGCCACTGTCAAACGGAGGGGTGCTGGTGCCCTCCACGCCTGCCCCCGGAGTCCGTGCACCACGCGGGGCCACTGCCAAACGGAGGGGTGCTGGCGCCCTCCGCGCCTGCCCCCGGAGCCCGTGCCGCCATGCCCGGGATGGACGGCCGAGCCGATCTCCGTGTGGCCACCCCCGGGGGTTCCCTCCACGTCCTCCCTGCTAGCCTTCCGGAACTTACCATGAAGACGATGGAGACTAAGTTGGTGAAGTAGGCTGGGAACCGGTCTCTCCAGGTCAGCTTCACCTTGTCGGTCTACGACATCAAACAGCCCGGGTCACTCTCTGGGAACCGCTATGGTGGAGACGTGTGTGCGTGTGTGCGTGTGCGTGGGACAAGACTCTCAGAGACTCCCTGAGAACGGCCTACAGGTGCTGGGTGGATGCCCAGGAGCGGGAGAACTGCCTGGGAAACACCGTGATGGAACGGTGGGGAGGCGGTCGCAGGCCAACGGGGCTCTTCGGCGTCTGGGGCAGGCAGAGCAGCGCCAAACACTTAAAGACCTGAGAGCCACGCCTGGGAGAAGCCCCGTCGGCGGAGGCCGCTTTGAGCGCTCGCGGATCGGAGACGTGTTTCCACTCCCACCCAGGCCACAGTCGCTGCCTCTCCTCCGTGGACCGGCTCAACCTAGCAACTCGCGCTCCCAGCACACGTTGCCTGCTCCTGGCGGCATGGTGCTGCTGGTGACACGCCGCCCAACCGGGCTCCGGGGCCCGGCTGCAGGCCCCTGGGCATGGCACTCACTGGGACAGCTCTGGTGGGCTGGGGTCTCCATAGGAAAATGCCAGTACTGGGTCACACGACGCTGCCAGGGATGCGACCCCGGAGGTCACGCACTCCAAGCTGGGGTGCATGCGGGTTAACACGACCAACAACCGCTGGCAGGCAACCGTGACGAGCAGGTTTCATGAGCCCCATGAAAGCCAGAGTGACCCCCTCCCCGCAACGGGCCCACACAGCCATGCAGTGACGTCACAACGCAAGCCAGGGCTCACGGATGCGGACAGAAGGCGGAGAAACACGGGTGTGAGTGTTACACACGCGCACACACACACGTGCACACACAGGGTGTGTTGTGAGAACACACAGCCGGCTTGGATCTCCTGCAACAGCAAGACCCACGGTGCGCCCCAACAGTACCAATTTCACCCCCGCCATGGCCGTCTTAACCCTCAGCTGCCACGTGTTTGTGGGCTCCTCCGGGCCGGGCCGGCGCTTCTGGGGCGGGCGGAGGGGAGAGAGCACCGTGCGGTGAAGCCTCGGGACAGCAAGACAGACGCAGAGCCCGCGCCCGGGGGTGGCAGCCCACCTCCAGGGCTGCTGGGGCTCGGGCGCAGGCCGGGGGCCTGGACGGGAGCTGCCGCTGCGGGCGGCTCCGCTGGGCTCCGTCCGTCCCTTCTCTGGGGTGGCCGCTGTGACATCAGCAGACAGGCTCACCACACAGCCAGTGCAGCCGCACCCAGAGCCCCGAGCCCGTCTATCATATACCAACTCTGCGTGGGCAACTTTTGTTTTAGTCCATAGCTGGGGCGGGGGGTGGGGGGGAATGAAAGCCACCAGGCAGCTGCTGGAGCCAAATGACACGGAGGAGGCGGCGGGGATGGGCACTGGGCTCAGCATCAGGCCCCTGCAGAAACCAACCGGACATGTGCCCGCCCTCCCACAGCCAGCGGCCACGCAGACGGCCCTGGGGGGCTCCGCTGCTGGGGCTGGGGTGAGTCCCGGCCTCCACTCCTCTCTCCAGCGTTGGGAGAAGGAAACACCCGGCGCGCCGGCTGGCTGGGGGAGCAGCAGCCGCAGAGCCTCGGGCGGGCCGCTGGGGTGATCGCCGGCTCCAGGCAGCTCCCGAAGGCTCTGAGCCAGGACACCACCAGGAGCCAGGAGGTCCCGAGTGGCCCGGATCCGCACGCGCACGCACGGGAGGCACGCGCAGCCTCGCCTGCGCACGCAGGGTCTCTTAACTCCAGGGCGAGGCTCCTGCTTCGGTGGGCTGCTTCCTGGCACCGCTGGGTCCTGCTCAGACCCCAGTGGGCACTTCCTGGCTGGCTGCGGGAGGCCCGCATTGTGCCCAGGTTCTCACTGCCTGACAGGAAGCCCCCCGACGGCCCCAGGTGGGACTGCGGCAGGTGTGATGCCCTGGCCACGCTGAACCAATGAGCTCTGAGCAGGCGACTCCGTGGCAGGGGTGGGGAGACCCAGGGCTGGGGTCTGAGCCACTCAGACGGAGGCCAAACATGCTGGCTGTGCTTGGAGAGACGTGGCCCCGCGCATGGGCAGGGACACCTCCTACCGCATCCTCACAGCCGGGGAGCGGAGGAGCTGCCCCCGCCCCGGGGGCCTGGTGCCCGCACACGCAGCTCTCACGGCCCGCGCAGGGCACGACAGGCAAGCGGCCGAGGAAGCCCCCAGGCTCCGGCCGTGCGGAGTCTGGCCCCTTGCCCGCTGCTGCAAATAAAGTTTTATTGGAACGCAGCCTGGCCCACCTGCTCACAGTGCACGGCAGCTTCACACTAAAAGCACAGGCGCAGGGAGCCTAAATATCTACTACGGGGCCGACCCCGGTCTACACTGTGGGGGACCAGTGTCCGCTGGCCCCGTCTACACTGTGGGGGAACAGTGTCTGCTGACCCCTGTCTCCACTGTGGGGGAACAGTGTCCGCTGGCCCCGTCTACACTGTGGGGGAACAGTGTCCGCTGGCCCCGTCTACACTGTGGGGGAACAGTGTCCGCTGGCCCTGGTCTCCACTGTGGGGGAACAGTGTCCGCTGGCCCCGTCTACACTGTGGGGGACCAGTGTCCGCTGACCCCTGTCTACACTGTGGGGGAACAGTGTCCGCTGGCCCCGTCTACACTGTGGGGGAACAGTGTCCGCTGGCCCTGTCTATACTGTGGGTAAACAGTGCCCGCTGGCCCCCGTCTACACTGTGGGGGACCCGTGTCCACTAACCCCCGGTCTACACTGTGGATGAACACCAGTGTATGCTGGCCCCTGTCTACACTGTAGAGGACCAGTGTCTGCTGACCCCTGTCTACACTGTGGATGAACAGTGTCCACTGACCCCCGGTCTACACTGTGGATGAACACCAGTGTATGCTGGCCCCTGTCTACACTGTGGAGGACCAGTGTCTGCTGACCCCTGTCTACACTGTGGGTGAACAGTGTCCACTGATCCTGGTCTATACTGTGGAGGACCCGTGTCTGCTGGCCCCTGTCTACACTGTGGGTGAACAGTGTCTGCTGATCCTGGTCTACACTGTGGAGGACCAGTGTCCGCTGGTCCCGTCTACACTGTGGGTGAACAGTGTCTGCTGACCCCCGTCTACACTGGTGAGGACCAGTGTCCGCTGGCCCTGTCTACACTGTGGGGGAACAGCGTCTGCTGGCCCCGTCTACACTGTGGGTGAACAGTGTCTGCTGGCCCCGTCTACACTGGGGAGGACCAGTGTCTGCTCTCTCCTGGTCTACACTGTGGGTAAACAGTGTTCGCTGGCCCCCGTCTACACTGTGGAGGACCCGTGTCCACTGACCCCCGGTCAACACTGTGGATGAACACCAGTGTCTGCTGACCCCTGTCTACACTGTGGAGGACCAGTGTCTGCTGACCCCTGTCTACACTGTGGGTGAACAGTGTCCACTGATCCTGGTCTATACTGTGGAGGACCCGTGTCTGCTGGCCCCGTCTACACTGTGGGTGAACAGTGTCTGCTGATCCTGGTCTACACTGTGGAGGACCAGCGTCCGCTGGTCCCGTCTACGGGTGAACAGTGTCTGCTGACCCCCGTCTACACTGGTGAGGACCAGTGTCCGCTGGCCCCTGTCTACACTGGGGAGGACCAGTGTCTGCTGGCCCCTATCTACACTGTGGAGGACCAGTGTCTGCTCTCTCCCGGTCTACACTGTGGGTAAACAGTGCTCGCTGGCCCCCGTCTACACTGTGGAAGACCAGCATCCGCTGGCCCCGTCTACACTGTGGGTGAACAGTGTCTGCTGACCCCCATCTACACTGTGGAGGACCCGTGTCCACTGACCCCTGTCTATACTGTGGAGGACCCATTTCCGCTGGCCCCTTCTATACTGTGGAGGACCCGTGTCTGCTGCCCCCCGTCTACATTGTGGGGGAACAGTGTCCGCTGATCCTGGTCTACACTGTGGAGGAACCGTGTCCGCTGGCCCCGTCTACACTGTGGAGGACCCGTGTCTGCTGGCCCCCGTCTACACTGTGGGTGAGCAGTGTCCGCTGCTCCTGGTCTACACTGTGGAGGACCCGTGTCTGCTGGCCCCGTCTACACTGTGGGTGAGCAGTGTCCGCTGCTCCTGGTCTACACTGTGGAGGACCCGTGTCCGCTGGCCCCGTCTACACTGTGGAGGACCAGTGTCCGTTGGCCCCATCTACACTGTGGAGGACCCGTGTCTGCTGGCCCCCGTCTACACTGTGGGTGAACAGTGTCTGCTGACCCCTGTCTACACTGTGGAGGACCTGTGTCCGCTGGCCCCGTCTACACTGTGGGTGAACAGTGTCCGCTGCTGCTGGTCTACACTGTGGAGGACCCGTGTCCGCTGGCCTCGTCTACACTGTGGGTGAACAGTGTCCGCTGACCCCGGTCTACACTGTGGAGGACCCGTGTCTGCTGGCCCCCGTCTACACTGTGGGTGAACAGTGTCCGCTGACCCTGGTCTACACTGTGGGTGAACAGTGTCTGCTGACCCCTGTCTATACTGTGGAGGACCCGTGTCTGCTGGCCCCATCTACACTGTGGGTGAGCAGTGTCCGCTGCTCCTGGTCTACACTGTGGAGGACCCGTGTCCGCTGGCCCCGTCTACACTGTGGAGGACCAGTGTCCGTTGGCCCCATCCACACTGTGGAGGACCCGTGTCTGCTGGCCCCCGTCTACACTGTGGGTGAACAGTGTCTGCTGACCCGCCTACACTGTGGAGGACCTGTGTCTGCTGGCCCCGTCTACACTGTGGGTGAGCAGTGTCCGCTGCTCCTGGTCTACACTGTGGAGGACCCGTGTCCGCTGGCCCCGTCTACACTGTGGAGGACCAGTGTCCGTTGGCCCCATCCACACTGTGGAGGACCCGTGTCTGCTGGCCCCCGTCTACACTGTGGGTGAACAGTGTCTGCTGACCCCTGTCTACACTGTGGAGGACCTGTGTCCGCTGGCCCCGTCTACACTGTGGGTGAACAGTGTCCGCTGCTGCTGGTCTACACTGTGGAGGACCCGTGTCCGCTGGCCTCGTCTACACTGTGGGGGACCCGTGTCCACTGACCCCCAGTCTACACTGTGGATGAACACCAGTGTATGCTGGCCCCTGTCTACACTGTAGAGGACCAGTGTCTGCTGACCCCTGTCTACACTGTGGATGAACAGTGTCCACTGACCCCCGGTCTACACTGTGGATGAACACCAGTGTATGCTGGCCCCTGTCTACACTGTGGAGGACCAGTGTCTGCTGACCCCTGTCTACACTGTGGGTGAACAGTGTCCACTGATCCTGGTCTATACTGTGGAGGACCCGTGTCTGCTGGCCCCTGTCTACACTGTGGGTGAACAGTGTCTGCTGATCCTGGTCTACACTGTGGAGGACCAGCGTCCGCTGGTCCCGTCTACACTGTGGGTGAACAGTGTCTGCTGACCCCCATCTACACTGGTGAGGACCAGTGTCCGCTGGCCCTGTCTACACTGTGGGGGAACAGTGTCTGCTGGCCCCGTCTACACTGTGGGTGAACAGTGTCTGCTGGCCCCGTCTACACTGGGGAGGACCAGTGTCTGCTCTCTCCTGGTCTACACTGTGGGTAAACAGTGTTCGCTGGCCCCCGTCTACACTGTGGAGGACCCGTGTCCACTGACCCCCGGTCAACACTGTGGATGAACACCAGTGTCTGCTGACCCCTGTCTACACTGTGGAGGACCAGTGTCTGCTGACCCCTGTCTACACTGTGGGTGAACAGTGTCCACTGATCCTGGTCTATACTGTGGAGGACCCGTGTCTGCTGGCCCCGTCTACACTGTGGGTGAACAGTGTCTGCTGATCCTGGTCTACACTGTGGAGGACCAGCGTCCGCTGGTCCCGTCTACGGGTGAACAGTGTCTGCTGACCCCCGTCTACACTGGTGAGGACCAGTGTCCGCTGGCCCCTGTCTACACTGGGGAGGTCCAGTGTCTGCTGGCCCCTATCTACACTGTGGAGGACCAGTGTCTGCTCTCTCCCGGTCTACACTGTGGGTAAACAGTGCTCGCAGGCCCCCGTCTACACTGTGGAAGACCAGCATCCGCTGGCCCCGTCTACACTGTGGGTGAACAGTGTCTGCTGACCCCCATCTACACTGTGGAGGACCCGTGTCCACTGACCCCTGTCTATACTGTGGAGGACCCGTTTCCGCTGGCCCCTTCTATACTGTGGAGGACCCGTGTCTGCTGGCCCCATCTACACTGTGGGTGAGCAGTGTCCACTGCTCCTGGTCTACACTGTGGAGGACCCGTGTCTGCTGGCCCCATCTACACTGTGGAGGACCAGTGTCCACTGCTCCTGGTCTACATTGTGGAGGACCCGTGTCCACTGGCCCCGTCTACACTGTGGAGGACCAGTGTCCGTTGGCCCCATCTACACTGTGGAGGACCCGTGTCTGCTGGCCCCCGTCTACACTGTGGGTGAACAGTGTCTGCTGACCCCTGTCTACACTGTGGAGGACCTGTGTCCGCTGGCCCCCGTCTACACTGTGGGTGAACAGTGTCTGCTGACCCCTGTCTACACTGTGGAGGACCTGTGTCCGCTGGCCCCGTCTACACTGTGGGTGAACAGTGTCCGCTGCTGCTGGTCTACACTGTGGAGGACCCGTGTCCGCTGGCCTCGTCTACACTGTGGGTGAACAGTGTCCGCTGACCCCGGTCTACACTGTGGAGGACCCGCGTCTGCTGGCCCCCGTCTACACTGTGGGTGAACAGTGTCTGCTGACCCCTGTCTATACTGTGGAGGACCCGTGTCTGCTGGCCCCATCTACACTGTGGGTGAGCAGTGTCCGCTGCTCCTGGTCTACACTGTGGAGGACCCGTGTCCGCTGGCCCCATCTACACTGTGGAGGACCAGTGTCCGTTGGCCCCATCTACACTGTGGAGGACCCGTGTCTGCTGGCCCCGTCTACACTGTGGGTGAGCAGTGTCCGCTGCTCCTGGTCTACACTGTGGAGGACCCGTGTCCGCTGGCCCCGTCTACACTGTGGAGGACCAGTGTCCGTTGGCCCCATCTACACTGTGGAGGACCCGTGTCTGCTGGCCCCCGTCTACACTGTGGGTGAACAGTGTCTGCTGACCCCTGTCTACACTGTGGAGGACCTGTGTCCGCTGGCCCCGTCTACACTGTGGGTGAACAGTGTCCGCTGCTGCTGGTCTACACTGTGGAGGACCCGTGTCCGCTGGCCTCGTCTACACTGTGGGTGAACAGTGTCCGCTGACCCCGGTCTACACTGTGGAGGACCCGCGTCTGCTGGCCCCCGTCTACACTGTGGGTGAACAGTGTCCGCTGACCCTGGTCTACACTGTGGGTGAACAGTGTCTGCTGACCCCTGTCTACACTGTGGAGGACCCGTGTCTGCTGGCCCCATCTACACTGTGGGTGAGCAGTGTCCGCTGCTCCTGGTCTACACTGTGGAGGACCCGTGTCCGCTGGCCCCATCTACACTGTGGAGGACCAGTGTCCGTTGGCCCCATCTACACTGTGGAGGACCCGTGTCTGCTGGCCCCGTCTACACTGTGGGTGAGCAGTGTCCGCTGCTCCTGGTCTACACTGTGGAGGACCCGTGTCCGCTGGCCCCGTCTACACTGTGGAGGACCAGTGTCCGTTGGCCCCATCTACACTGTGGAGGACCCGTGTCTGCTGGCCCCCGTCTACACTGTGGGTGAACAGTGTCTGCTGACCCCTGTCTACACTGTGGAGGACCTGTGTCCGCTGGCCCCGTCTACACTGTGGGTGAACAGTGTCCGCTGCTGCTGGTCTACACTGTGGAGGACCCGTGTCCGCTGGCCTCGTCTACACTGTGGGTGAACAGTGTCCGCTGACCCCGGTCTACACTGTGGAGGACCCGTGTCTGCTGGCCCCCGTCTACACTGTGGGTGAACAGTGTCCGCTGACCCTGGTCTACACTGTGGGTGAACAGTGTCTACTGACCCCTGTCTACACTGTGGAGGACCCGTGTCTGCTGGCCCCCGTCTACACTGTGGGTGAACAGTGTCCGCTGCTCCTGGTCTACACTGTGGAGGACCAGCGTCCGCTGGCCCCGTCTACACTGTGGGTGAACACCAGTGTCCGCTGGCCCCCGTCTACACCGCGGCTCACACGCTGGGCCTCGCTGAGGAAAGCCGGCGGCCACCGTACCTCTTTGTTTTTGGATTCTTTCCTCAGCGACTTCTCCAGGACTCTGGCTTCGTACTCGGCCCTGGGGTGGTCCTGCGGAGGAGACGTCGGAGTGAGGGGCGTGCCGGCGGGCGCCCGAGACCCTCCTCTGGGCACCCTCGGCAAACCAGTCGGACGCTTGCCTCGGGCACCTGCTGGGGCCAGTTCAGGGCCGGCCCTGGCACCGCTGCCCGCGCGGGCCTCCCTGTATGCGGCCAATCGCAGCCCGCGACCCTCCCCCGGGTTGGGACCCCACAGGGCCTGTGCCCGCGGCATGGCGCGCCCGGCCGTGAACTGGCCCCAGCACGCGCCGTGGAGGAGCCGCGCGGTGTCAGCAAGCGAGAGCAGCAGAGTGGGCGCTGGAACAGAACCGGTTAGGAGCGGCCGCAGTGAGGAGGAAGCGAGACCCGCCCGTGGAGCTGCAGACGGAGGCGTGTGCGGAGCCCGCTCCCGAGAGAGCCCCGGGGACAGGGGGAGACACAAAGTTGCAAACCTTGACTGCCTCCTTCAGGGACCCAGAAAACAAAGAGACAAGAAGGCGGTGTTACTGCTCATTCCTAGGAAACAGCACCCCCCCCCCGAGACCTCCTGGGGGCCGGCAGGGAGCCGACGCCGGGGTGCGGGGCTGGAGGCGGGGGCCCGCGTCTCTGAAGGCCTCCGGGCGCCAGGATGACGCGTGGCCCCTGGCTTTGGGGACTGGAGTTTCTTAGACTCGGCTACGGGCACACGGGCCAAACGAGAGGGCAGACCTCCCTCCGCCCACACCGCAGGCCCCGTCTGGACCAGGCAGGGCGGCCCACACCTGTGCAGTCGGCCCTGCAAGGAGGCCCCCGGCGGCCCCTGCCCGGAGCCCAGGGGTCCCCACTCTGAAAGGAGTCCGGGGGGCTGGACCAAGGGGGCTGGCCACAGGGTCGTTCCAAGAGGACGTTCTAGACAGAATTCCCAAGCACTCAGACGGCGACTGCTCTCTGTGTGACTGGAATCTTGGCAGCTGGAACAGCAACTGGGACAAGAGCCCACCCAGGGAGTCGGCTGGCCCCGGACCCTGCCATGGGCTGAGCTCTGGCTCCCAGCAGGGTCAGCGGCAGCTCAGGCCGGCCGTCTGCGGAAGCGGAGACGGCGACCGCCGTGGAGAGGCCCCGGACTGTTCACGGGCGCTGGGAAGCAGGCGAGGCCTGTGTGGCCAGGTGACCGACAAGGGGGTGCTGGGCCCTGCCTTCAGCACTATGCACCGACTGACCTGCTGGGACCCCCATGCTCTATGGACTGGGGTCCACTCTCAGAGCCCGCGTGAGAGGCCAGGCCGCTGAGGCACAGAGAGGTTGAGTGTCTTCCCCAGGCCACACAGCGAACACGCATCAGATGGGGACTGAGCTCGGGTAGCTCGGCCCAGGGGTCAGACTCGTGACTGCCAGGCTCCCGGTGCCTGTCTCTTCTTGGGATGGGTGGCAGAGGGCTGGCGCACGGGCTCCACAATGTCTGCCCGAGGCGTGGCCACCCTGCTCAGCCTGGGAGGGAGCCAGCGGTTTGGGCAGACCCAGCAGGCTGGCCAGAAAAAGGGTTCAGATGCTTGCACGGCGCCGTGAGAGGCAGGCAACACTGCCCTCTTGGACAGTGAAGACAAGTCACCGGGCGGGGCGGGGGGGGTCACCCAGCTCTGTCCCTGGCCTTGCCGCTTGTCTGAGGGGATTCCTGGGGGCCTCAGTGGCCACTCGATGCCCAATGTCCCCCTCTGCACCCTGGGGTGGCCCGCGCCGGCTGTCGGTCTCCGTTTGCAGGCGGAGCCGCCCCGACGAGCAGGGAGTGGGTTCCCGCAGGCGGCACCCCTGCCCTCGCCACACCCGACAGCCTGGGCAGCGCCAGATGCGCTGAGGTCACCGTGGTGAGCCTTGGCCCGCCTCCGACACCGGCTGGTGGGGGCGTCTCCATGCGAGAGCCTCCAGATCAGACACCAAACAGTCGCCCTGGCGACCGCGGGCGTCTGCAATGCCGGGAAGACAAACGGCCTCGCTGGGCGGGGACCGGAGCCCGTCAGGACCCTGGGCTCCACGCGAGCGCCACGGAGGCGGCGGGGGGCGGGGCACTGACCTCCTCCTCCTCGAAGCCCGTGAGGTCCCAGCGGTAATTGAGCCGCATCTGCTTCCGCTTCCAGTGTTCCATGAAGGTGGCGGCTGTGCAGGGAGGAAGGGCAGGCTCAGGGCCGGGGGTCGACATGCTGTCGGCACTACGCGGCGCAAGAATTCACCCCGACTGACCCACCCGGCCCCCATCAACCGTGAGCACGGCCTCCCATTCTACAGACCAACAGCTCGA